AGCCGTCCGCAGGTGGAGAGGAAAGGGGGTCGGGCGGAGCTTGCGCATTAGTGCCCCAACCCGTGCGCCGAGGGCGCCGGAAGGAAGAGGCGGGGCGTCCCCCGGCGGCGGGGCGGGCTCGGCATCAGCAACATGAGGTGATTGGCTCTGCGTGGGGAGGGGGCTCGCTTCCGCCGGACGACGGAAGCGGCCCTCCGGCCCTACCAGTGGGCCATGGAGACGGTGGCACAGTAGCGACCTAGGTGTAAGGATTGCAGGGGCGGCGGCCATGGAGGCCGTACTGAACGAGCTGGTGTCTGTGGACGACCTGCTGGTGAGGCCTGGCCCCGAGGGAGGGAGAGGGAACATTCGGACGGGCGGGTCCTGAGGAGAGTCCAAGTGGGGCCAGACCCTCTACCCAGCACCAGGCTCTCCTAGGGAGGCCGAACTACGGCTCCCGGCACCCTCTGCAGCGTCCGGCTCTTGCCCAGAGGCTCTTCTTTGTCCCGGAGGCCAATGGGACTTGTAGTTTCCTGCACCACCACGCCCCAGACTCGGGGCCTGGAGTCTGGCTTGGAAAGACTGACCAGTTCTGAGTGCGTGCAGGAGTTAGGAGGTCAGGGTGCGGACACCTGTGTTTGAGTGTTCCTTCGGTGACAGGGGAATATAGCGACTAGCATGAAGTTTCATATGTTACTCACCGAAACCGGCACGGTGCTAAGTGCATTGCCGGCGATATCTCAATCCTTGTAGCTCTAGGAAGTGGGCACTACTCTTATTCCCACTTAGCAGATAAGAAAAGGCCCAGACCCAGCCGGGTGGGGCTGGTTGGGGGAAGCAGCCACCGACGAGGGGCGGCGTGGGCTGTTGTTGAGCTGTTCGGACAGCGTGTTTACTGTTCGGCCAGCCGCTCGGGGTCAGCTGCTTCGCCGGCGGTGCCTGGAGCCGCCACCAGGTGGCATCTCCGCTCGGTACCACTAGGGGGAGGGAAGTGGACAGGGGTAGTGTCGGGGGGAGACACCCTGCTGCCAAGAAGCAGAGTACCTGGATCCCAGGGATGGAGATGGCGGAAGCCGGGATGCCAGATGCCAAGGCCCGCGAGGGAGACGTGACAGAGACTGGGGAAGATGGAGTGTAGCTGGGAAATGGACACCCAGGTCCTGGTAGAGAATGGTTCGTCCCTTCCTTTCTAAATGACTCCTCTCCTCTCTTGTGGCAGAAGTTTGAAAAGAAATTTCAGTCTGAGAAGGCAGGAGGCTCCGTGTCCAAGAGCACGCAGTTTGAGTACGCCTGGTGCCTGGTGCGAAGCAAGTACAATGATGACATCCGCAAAGGCATCGCACTACTGGAGGGTGAGGTGCTAGGCTACCCGACCCTCCCCTTCCCAGTGGCCTTTGGGTCCGTCCTGCCCTTCCCAACCACCGTGGCCTCCTTCCCTCCCTCCATCTCAAGTGCTGGGATCCTGTGTCGACATGGGACCCTGTAGCTGTCACCTCACAGTTATTTGCCAGTAAACGCACTGCAACAGAGGGCTGCACCCTGGCCTGGCTTCGCCCAGTTTGCTTGTGGCGTCATCACTGTTTAGCCAGACAGAACCATGGCGTGTCACTCCCCCCAGGACTCAGTGATCTGGCAGTCTGACAGAAGGAGGGTGACTTGTCTGAGGTGACACAGCTGATGAATTAATGGCTGAATTAGGACTAGAAGCTCCTGTCTTGTGTGTCCCAGGCCCTTGCTCTTTGGCCCCACCATGTTGCTTACTCAGCAGCAGTTGAAAACCTTTCGTGAGGGTGGCATGGGATTAGTGCAAACCTGCGAGCAGATGATGCTTTTTTGATTGGAATCCTGTCTCCCGTTGGTTTTCGATAGGTCACTGTTTTGTCACAGGCCATACTTGACCTTCAGATTTCTCTGTACCCTGTACCCGCTTTCTCTTGGCCAAGTATTCACGTGGAAGCAAACAGTACACTAGCGAAGGATGGCTATTGTGTATCTATAAAAATAAGAATCTTTTTAAATGCAAATAACCTCACCTGCATCTGCCTAAGTTGCTAATTCGGATTTCTCAGGCTTCCTTTACTGCAGGGCATACCTGTAGAAGATGTCGCTGAGCGTTGCCATTTCTAGCTGAGGAGAAAGTACGGGCACTGGGGAAGATTTATGAACACCTGCAAAGCTACTTAGCCCCAAATTGTACAGAAGCCTCTGCGAAGTCACTGAATTAAGATAGAGTCAGGCAGGGGTCATTCAGAGAATGCTAATTGAAGGGGAGTTTTGAGCTGATTTTTTAAAGGGGGGGGAGTGCAAATTTATTTTAACCCCAATCTGGGCAGCAAACAGCTACAGTGAGAACACAGCGGGTACCTTTGGCTTCTCCAGTGCCTCAGTTTCCTTCCAGTTCACTTAGATGAACTAGAGCTGACTATATAGTGTTGAAACCAGGGTGTTCATCAGCGGGGTATTTGGCAGCCTGGGTTTGTGCTTCCCCGGAGCCCTGACTGGGAAGCCAAGAAGGGCCAGAGCTGAAACGGAAGCTCAGCACGGTGACTTTGTCCCGGGGTCGTACAGGGATTCGGAGAGTGGAGGGGGTCTCTGGGACACAGGCACTAGGAGAGGAGAGGAGCGGGTTTCACCCTCTTGCCACCACCCTCCCCAGAGCTGCTGCCCAACGGGAGCAAAGAGGAGCAGCGGGATTATGTTTTCTACCTGGCCGTGGGGAACTACCGGCTCAAGGTAAGGCGGCAGCCCCCTTCGTCCCCCCCCCCCCCCGGGTGGGCCACCCCACCCGGCATTTCCCCTCCAGGGTAGAGCCCTGGCCGTCAGGGAGGCCGGACAGGGCAAGCGGGCAGGGGGGGTGTCGGGTACAGAGGTGCAAGGCGACGGGTCCTGACGCCGAGGGAAGGTGAGGGACAGAAGATCCAGGTGCCAAGGGTGTGGGTGACCTCAGGATTGGGGTGCAGCCCCGAGCCTTGGGTGGTTATCTCCCCAGGCTTATCACCCCCACACGGTTGGGGTTGTTTGTGGACTCTACTCCGTTGGGTGGGGCCGGAGGGAGGGAGGAGGTGGGGGTAGAGGGAGGAGCCTCCGGGGCAAGTGCAGGTCCCTCTGAGGGGCTGGAAGAGGCTGGAATACTGGGGGGGTGTGTGTCTGTGTTTTCCCTGAGCGCAGGAATATGAGAAGGCACTAAAGTATGTGCGGGGGCTGCTGCAGACAGAGCCCCAGAACAACCAGGCCAAGGAACTGGAGCAGCTTATTGACAAGGCCATGAAGAAAGGTGAACCTTCCCCTCGGCCCCCCACCCCCCTGCTCCCCGCTCCCCCTGCTTGCCTGTCTCCCTGGCCCCTTCGTCCTGTCCTCCCAGGGCACCTCTCTGCTCTTCACCAAGTCTTCCTTCCCCCACGCCTGGGCTCTCTGGTCTCCCTTTATTTTGTATTTATTTAATTTTTTTAAATTTGCCCTTCAGAAGATACTTTTTTTTAATGTTTATTTATTTTTGTGAGAGGGAGAGACAGAGTGTGAACAGGTGAGGGGCACAGAGAGGGAGACCCAGAATCCAAAGCAGGCTCCAGGCTCTAAGCTGTCAGCACAGAGCCCGATGCGGGGCTCGAACCCACAAACCTCGAGACCACGACCTGAGCTGAAGTCGGACGCGCAACCGACTGAGCCACCCAGGCGCCCCCTCTCTGGTCTCCCTTTAAAGGACCCCTTCCCCCGCTCCAGGCACATCCTCCTCAGTCCCTCAGTCCCTTCTTCCTGTACGCCTTGGAGTCCCTTGCCTCATGACTCCAGGGGAAGAGGCGCACCGGGCAGGGTCCCTGTGGGGGCTGGGCTCCTGACAGTCTCCCTTTTCCCTTCCCCAGACGGACTAGTGGGCATGGCCATTGTTGGAGGGATGGCCCTGGGCGTGGCGGGACTGGCTGGACTCATCGGACTTGCTGTATCCAAGTCCAAATCCTAAAGGAGACCGCGCCTCCGCCTCTGCCCAGGGATGCCTGGGAGCCTGTGGAGGACGTTCGAAGGGGGGGTGGGGGGGTGGCCGTCCATCCTTTCCGTCCCTTCCCCTGTACCCCATCACTGCCCTCTGCCTTCGGCCTCCTCTCCCCAGAGACCTGTCCAATAGCCCCAAACCACGTGCTCCGGGACGAGTGTAAATAAAACTGGGCTTTGGCTCGGAACCGCTGTGTCTGTGTGGAAGAAGGGGCGGGCTCCACTGGGCCCAAAGGTGGGGGTCACCCGTGGTCCTTTCCTGCGCGCCTTCCTACTCCTACCCGCCCCCAGGCTGGTGTGGGGTTCGCCTTTGTCCGCCAAGCTGCCCAGAGCCCACACCCTTCCTTCCTTCCCCTCCCCCAAAGCAGTGGTAGGCAGCATGGGGACACAGGGACACGGGACGTGGCCTTTGCACGGTGCTGGAATCCTGGGAGAAAGCAGTGATGGGAGGCGGGAAGGGAAGAGCTGAGGGGACAGGCCAGGATTTATGTCTCCTGTCTCCTTTGACCCACACAGCTGCCTCTTAGCACGTGGAGTTTTCCACACCAGGGGGGGCCCCCACTCGGTTTCCTCCCAAACCTCCACCCTTCTCTCCCTTTGTCTTCCTGCGCCCCCCTCCTCCCCATCCTCTCCTGGGGAGGGGCCGCCGCCCAGGGGCAGGGCTGGGCCTTCGAGAGAACTCCTCAGGTTCTTGAGAAAGGTTGCAAACCCAGGACATCCCAGTCATAGGCTCCAAGATGGAAAGGTCAGGACCCAGTCCCCACCCAGCCTGCTTTGCCCCACACCCGCCCGGTGCCAGGCTCAGCGTGGGCCTGTCTTGCTTCACCGCATACCTCTCGTTCCACAGCCAAGCCAGCCTGGCTTGGGGGGGGGGGGGGGGGGGGGGGGGGGCCCCCGGGGGGGGGCCCAGGGGACCCCGCCAGGGGGAGGGGGGGGTGATGGGACACCCTTCGGCTCCTTGATGTCCCCTGTGACTGCCTGGGGGGTAGCATCGGTTCCTCCCTACCCCTGGAGACCAAGCCCCTGCTGCGCTTGCTAGAGGAGAACCAGAGCTGCCCTGGCTCCTTGAGGAGCCTTGAGGCAGGAAATGATACCGTCTGCACCAGGACAGGTGCTCAGCCTCGGCTTGGGGTTGGGGCCCGGCGGTTTCTAACCCATCACAATTAATAGAGCTGGTGACAGTTCTGATAACTGAGCTGCTTAGATTAGCCACAGGATCACGTTCTGGGCCTGTGATTTATCCCCCTTGGTGGCCCTTGGCAGCGAGATCAAGCTTGTTGCCGAGAGTCAAAGATCAACCCGACGAGGGGGGAAATTCAAGTTCAAGAAGTTGAAGTTTGGAGGGAAGCAACCCACTGGTGGCCTCACCCTGTGCCCGCGGCACCCGGAGCCAGAGTGGTCCCCGAGGATGGAGCAGTTCCCACGTGCAGGGAGCTTTTGATCTGGGGTCACAGTGGTGAGGGAGCCAGTTCTAGTTCACAGAAGCAGGAACAAGCCCGAGGGGCTCAGACTCCAGGCCCTTGTGGCTCTGGTAGATGGTGGGTCTGGTTTGAATCCAGGTTGACTGGACTCCAGAGCTGCGGGTTCCGCCCAGACGCCCTGATGCCTTACTCAACCTTAATCTTCTTCGGTGACTCAGTAGCCCGAACCCTAAGTCTTTGGAGTTTCTTAAATTGTTCTCACCAACATCCAGGAGGGGGGCTCCGCTCCCCGGATCCTGCCCCGCGAAAGGTCTGTCTGTGGCCCCGGTCTCTCAGTCACCTTCTCTTTCCTCGTCCTGGCTCCATTCTCCGGCCCCCCGATGAGAGCTGAGTCAGAGCGACTTCCCTGCTTCCCCTCTGCTTCCAGTGCCTCCCGTGGGGGCCCCCCTCAGCCCCATCAGTTCGTTGGTCACTCCCATTAGTCCTCTCCGCCCCCCTTGTGGGGCGGGGAGCCCAGAGGCTGGGGGAGGGGGTGGACTTTTGGCCCGTGTTCCGTTGCTTCCCTCCATCTCCGCGTCAACAGCTGCCCGGCGCTCTGGGCTCATTCCTCTGCCCGGACCTTCGGGGAAGCAGGAACCCAGAGGGAGGGCAGGGGGCAGAAGCCGGGGGGGTGGGGGCAGATCTGCACCCCAGGTTGCTGCTGGCCCCCCCTGCTCTCTCCACCTTTCTCTCCAGCCTGCCTTAACACCCCTCCTTAGCCAAAGCCCCTCAAGTTCCCTTGGGGCTCAGCCCCTCCCCTCCTCTGGGGCCCCAGGCGCCCCTCAGGGCCCTGCATCTCACCATGTCGGTGGCCGTGGAGATCTTCGGCTTCTTCATGGCGGCCCTGGGGCTGCTGATGCTGGGGGTGACCCTGCCACACAGCTACTGGCGAGTGTCCACCGTGCACGGGAGCGTCATCACCACCAACACCATCTTCGAGAACCTCTGGTTTAGCTGTGCCACCGACTCCCTGGGAGTCTACAGCTGCCGGGAGTTCCCGTCCTTGCTGGCCCTCTCCGGTATGGGGTGGAGAGAGCGGGGTGGCCCGCTCCAGGGGGCGGCGGGAGGCGGGGAGAGACCCCCGGGGAGGGTGACTGCTGCCCACGGTCGGGCCTTGGGCACCGAGCCGATAAGGGAGGCCTGGATCGAGCTCGGGGAGCTGGGAGTGCCCGGCGGCCCCCATCTGGAGCCGCACTGGAGACCTCGTCCCACGTGTCCCCCTGCCCTGATGTGACACCCCTAGTGGTTCCAAGTGCAGGCACCAGGGCCAGACTGCCGGGCTCAGCTGACCAGCTCGGTGCCCCCGGCAGGTGATGAAACGAGCTTCGTTCACCCCAACTGTAAAACCGGGGGAACGTGCACAGGCGCGTGGCATAGTTGTGAGTGTTGAGCTACAGCCCGGGACGTTTAGCGTGATTCTCGTTGGCCCGTGTGCGCACAAGACCGACTTCAGCATCTCAGCTTTGTGGTGAGAGTGCTGGGGGTCATGGGGGTGCAGAGGAGGCCCATCTTGGGTTCTTGGCGTTGAGACCCTTAAAAGGCATCGGTGCCACTGCCACGGCGAATTCTCAAGGGCCCTCTTCAAGCAAGACTTCCCGCGGCGCTGTGTCTGGTGGAAGCAGCTAGGGGTGTGTGTGCATGTGTGTTCGGCGTTCTCAGGCGGTGGATTTTTTGAAGTTCTCGGAGGGCCGGAACGTACAGGTCTTTTGTTCCAGAAAGGTTCTTCTTGGTGGTATAGCGTCTTCCCGCTTCCTGTTCACCGAGTAGTCCCCAGCATCCCTTGGGGGAGTCTTTTCGGTAGGCCCGTGCCGGAGACCAGGAGGGGAGGACCAGGTCCTCTTTTTGGTGCCACTCCCGCACCCCCCTTGGAGCCGTCGTGCTCTTCCGGTTCGCCACTGTAGGTGCCGGGAAGTGGATGGAACTAAAGCCAACACTGGGTTTGGAACAGGGCTGCGGGAATGCCAGAGATGCTCTGCGCAGTTAAGGGGTCTGCATGGGTCTCTCGTGCCCCTGCGATTCCCAGAATCTCCTGAGCCAGCAGGGATTTCGTGCCTTCATCCCCCTCTCCAGGATTTGCCATGTGCAGGGCACGTGCCCTCCCCAAGCTCCCGATAAAAGCTGGGTACCATCCGGACCAGAAGCCCCGAATGCCGGGTGGCCAGAAGGGACATTGCAGGCAGCCAGCTTAGCAGCACTGGCCCTTCCCGCCTCACCCATCCCTCAGCCACATCGCGGTTTGAAGAGGGGCGTTTGCCGTGAGCCTGTCGGCCCGAGAAGGGCCCCACTTGGAACTGCTGATGGAGGGGCAAGAGCCTGCTCCAGGGGGAAGGGCAGAGGGCAGCTGCCCGGCATCGGGGGTCGTCAGGGCACCCCACGTTGTGATGGTTCTTCACGCAGGCCATCACAGTGCCGTCTCCGCTGGCCTGGCTGCGTGGGGCGCAGGCAACCCCGTCTCACCCAAGCTGGAAAACTACAAGCACAAGCGTTAACCGGCCCACAGCCCCACAGGTGGTAGGGGTGCCGGAACCCAGGCTGGCGGATACTCTGGTCCCGAGGGGGGTCCTGACTATTATTTAATCCCCCACAGCCGCCCAGCCCACGCTCCCTCGTGGCCCATCAATAATCTCTCCTTTGTCTACCACAGCGGCCTAGGGACCCAGGGCTGCTCAGCCCTGGATAGAGAGGATACGGGGGAGGGGGGAACCCCAGAGGGAGTGGCTGGGAGTGAGAAAGTGCTCCCAGAGAACTTTGTCCCTCCTCTCTACCCGCCAACTCCGGGCCACTTCACATCCTCCTGGCAGGGACCCAGCGTCTTCAGCACCAGTGGCACGGCCCCACCCAGGAAAGGGGAACAAGGTCCTTGGGGTGGTTGGCAAGTATCAAAGAGAAGGGGGAAGAGGGGCCCGGAAGGAAACTGGCCGTTTCCTTCAGCTTTGAGAAAGGGGAAACTGAGGCATCCAATGTATATGAGCTAGATGGGCTTGGATTGTCCTGCGCCTAGATACCCCACTTTCCAGATCAGAACCAGCCCCCACCCAGTAACCCACGGGCAACTGCTGCCCCCTACAGGTCACTGCAGGAGAAAGCTCACTTCATGATGTCTAGGGGCTGTGCCACGTGGGACCTAGAGAGAAGCAGATGTGGGGCAGGGGCTGAGTACTCAAGTGCAATTTCTGTCATTCGCGACGGAGCAGTGGTTCTCGGCTGCGATTGGGGGCGACTTTGTTCCCCAGGGGTCATTGACAACGTCTAGACATTTTGATGGTCCCTCTTGGAGCGGACTCCTGCTGACATCTAGTGGGTAGAGGCCAAGGATGCTGCTGAACATCCCACAGGGCCCAGAACGGCCCCCAGACCAAAGCAGTAGCTGGCCAAAGTGTCAGTAGTGCCAAGGAGACAGCCAGTAAGCAGGTGCGCCGAACCGGGGGCGGGGGGGCGGAGCCTGAGTTGAGCCCCTAGGAAGGAGGGGCGTCAGGGCTCCAGCGGAATAGGGCCCCGAAGGGGAAGGAGGGGACTTGAGGGCCTTTATGGACTGAGACCCGAGCAGGGGCTGGCTGTAAGGGGCTGGCTCAGCCTCGGAGGGGGAAGGGGCCAGCTTAGGGACCCATGGCTGCGCCCCGCCTCCCCAGGGTACCTCCAGGCCTGCCGGGCGCTCATGATCACCGCCATCTTCCTGGGCTTCCTGGGCCTCTTCCTAGGCATGGCGGGGCTGCGCTGCATAAACATCGGGAGCATGGAGCTCTCCAGGAAGGCCAGGCTGGCCGCCGTCGCAGGGGCCCTGCACATACTGGCTGGTAACTGGGGGAAGGTGGTGGTGGGTGTGCCCTGCGTTGTCGTGGGGGGGGGGGGGTTGTTGAGAGTGGCGCCAGCAGACCCGGGGTCCCCTGTCGCCTCCAACTCCCCATTCCGGCGGGCGTCTCACCCTCCCCATTGAATGGACACCCGGCCTCTCTGCTCAGCTCTTCCCTGCCTCCCCGTTCACCCCAGCCTCACTCATGCTCCCCAAATCAGTCCATCAGCAATGTTTCTTGAGCCCCCACTAGGAGCCAGGCATGAGCAAAGGTGAGTGAGCGACTGTCCCCCAGAGGTTACAGCCTGGCCGGGGATACCGGAGTCTGGGGTGCGCGGGGTGCAAGCACACTGCGCACAGCAACAGCACCTTTGTCAGTCTGTAAAGCACGCGCACTTTATCGCCTCACAGCCAGCCTGCGAGGTAGGGTGGGTCTTGCCCTGTTCTCCAGATGTGGGAACGGGCTCAGAAAGCTCAGGTGACTTACTGGAGGCGCCCCCAGAGAGCGGCAAGGCTGGTCCTGTAGCCCAGGGGTCTCACTGGCCTCAGGCCTTCACTGCGCTGGGTGACAGAGGCAGGTCACAGGCTCCGGGGGGGGGGGGGGGGGGGGCCGGGGAGGCCGAAGGAAAGGGTGTCGGGGCAGACTCTGCGGGAGGATTGCCCGGACAGCCGGACTTTCCAGGGTGGGTAGGATTTGGATGGGGCAGATTCCAAACGAGGCAACGATGTGATCAAGATGCTGGGTAGGAAGGGCAGAGCGTGGGAGACTAGGCAAGAAAGGGGGGCTGCGGCTGGGACCCGAGGGGAAAGTCATGAGCTAGGGAGCGCAAAAGAAAGAGAGGGAGTGCAACTTGCTCTTGGGCGTCCAGATCTCGGGGCCGCCCCCGTGTGGCCCTCCCCCAGCTCCCTTCCTCCGCTGGGCCTGGGGCGCGAGCGCCGCCCTCCTCTCCCTTCCCAGGTTTCTGCGGGATGGTGGCCATCTCCTGGTACGCCTTCAACATCACCCGCGAATTCTTCGACCCCTTGTATCCCGGGACCAAGTAAGTGTGGGAGCCCCAGCCTGGGGGGCAGTGGGTGGGACTCGGCCCTCACCGTCCCTGTCCCCAGGTACGAGCTGGGCCCCGCCCTCTACCTGGGCTGGAGCGCTTCCCTGCTCGCCATCCTGGGCGGTGTCTGCCTCGGCTCCACCTGCTGCCGCACTCCCGACGCGGCCCCGGCCCCCAGGTAGGGACCGGCGCGCGTGGCGGCGAGGGGGAGGGGCGGGAGCGGGGTCGCCCCACCGCTGACCCAGGCCCCTCCGACCCAGGCTCCCCTACGAGGCCTCCGCGGTGCGGTCCCCCGGCCTCGCCGCCCCCCTGCACCCCGCGGTCTCGGACGAAGAAGGCGACAGCAGCTTTGGCAAATACGGGAAGAACGCTTACGTGTAGGAGGCCCGTGGACCCCGTGCCCCTGCCTCTGCCCCCAGCGGCCGGAGGTCCCGCCAACCCCGGGCTGCAGGCCACGCCCCGACTCCGCCCCGTGCCCCCGAGCCACGCCCGGCTCTGACCGCGCCTCCTTCGTCTGACCGAGAACCTGCCTCCTGAGAACTCACCTCGGACTCCTGAGGCAGGACCTTCTGGGGCTGGGCTCTGGTTGGTTAAGGGAGCAGAGGCGACCCCGACTGTTTGTATTCTGTATGATCTATGCAGAAATAAATTTGTACCGTGAACTGTTCAGGGTTTGGGGGTGTCATGCTCGTGTCATGAAGTGGCTGGCCAAGCAAGGGTTGGCTGGGGTGCCCCCAGGGTCGTCTCAGTTCTTGGACCTCAGGCTGCCACCTGTCCCTCTCTCTATCCCCTTCGGACTGTCTCATCCGAAAAAGAGAGGAGGGGTTGCAAGTGATTTCAAGAGTGGGGCACCCATGATTATGGCCAAGAGTCATCGAGCAGCAGACGTGGTAAGACCCACCTCGAGGAAACTGGAAATGGCAGAGATGCCCCCTGGCCGGCCCGAGACGACAACTCACTCTCTTTACTCTCAGCTTTTCCCACAGCAGTACAAGGAGACAGCTGGTCTTGAACACTTGCTTCGGCTGTGCCTACAAGTGGACACCACAAACCAACGAGCCCTTTGAAACTGTGCGTCAAATCAACCACGTCTGGTGCAGGCAGATTTTTCTAGGGAAAGGTTCAATAACTTCCAGCAAAGTCTTTGAACGTCTCTTCACAGAGGCCTGCATATTGCTGGTGCGTGTCTGACTTGATGGTGTCCAGCTCAGACGTGGCACTGGGCCCTGGGCTGGCTTGGGAGACAGGAAAACGAGGCCACAAGAGAGGGGCCTGGCGTCCAATGGAAGGAGAGGGACACCACCACCCCCTCCCCGCCCCGCGCCTAGCCCCTGCACTGGGCTGGTGCACCATCCCATTTATTCTCCCCTCTATGTGGCTAGTGGCTGGAAGAGGTTCAGAGAGGTGAAGTGACCTGTCCAAGCTACACAGTTAGTAAGCAGTATGACCACGATCTGTTCAAGACCAAAGATACAACTGGCCTGCTTCCTGGAATTTTTGGCTTTCCAAACTCATTCCCATCAACTGAATTGAGGGCTTTGGGAGTAAGCCCCCAGGCTCTAGCCTTCCAGTCCAGAGGGTTAGCCTCTCCTTCCCCTGTGTACCCAGGAGGAGGCTGTGCTGCTCCATCACATGACACTGGGTCCAGCCCCTACAAGTTTTTGGCACAGTGTAGATTTCCCAAAGACCCGGGTGAAAACCCATCTCCCTAGCACACAGGGAGCGGGCAAAAATTGTTCAAGGCTTTCCCTAAGGGATGTGTGCTTTTAAGTGGAGGGGTCCAGTAATCCCTTCCTAGAGGATGTCAACGGATGACTCCTGGAGCCACTTAGCTCAGAGCAATGGGAAGCCATTGGGTCCAGCTCTGTCCTATGAAGGTCAGTTGGGTATGTCCCTGAGTAGACACATCTTACACCAGGCAGAATCTAAGTGATTCTTTTTATATCAGCAAAATATGAAACAAAGCCAGTGAATTTAGGAAAGAAACCAAAGAGACTACTAACTCAGTGCAAATCTGACAGGAGTTCCAATGGAGGTGATCACAGTGAAGCACTGATGTATTTCTCCACCAAGAAATAGTCTTTTCTTCTATTTCCTTCCTTCCTCTTTTTTTTTTTTAAAGTTTATTTAGAGAGAGAGAGAGAGAGAGAGAGAGAGAGCACGCACATGCGAGCTGGAGAGGGGCACAAGGAGAGGGAGAGAATCCCAAGCAGGCTCTGCGCTGTCAGCCCCAATACGGGGCTCGAACTCACGAACCACAAGATCATGACCTGAGCCAAAATCAAGAGTCGGCTGCTTAACTGACTGAGCCACCCAGGTGCCCTTCTATTTTCTTTCCTGCATGTACTTGTTTTGTTTTTTTAAGTAGGCTCCACGCCCAGTGTGGAGCTTGAACTCACGACCTTGAGATCAAGAGTCGCATGCTCTACTGACTGAGCCAGCAATGTTCCCCCTTGCATGTACTTCTTGATAGAGAGGGAAATAAAAAGGTTAGGGCCTAGAAAAGTTTCCTTTCGTGGGAGGGAGACACAAATTGAGGCCAGAAGTTAGATGCCAGCAAACTGGGTTCCTGGTGTCCCAGTTACTATTGCTTTCTAACCATCCCAAGACTCAGTGGCATAAACCATTTGGTTATACACATGGATTCTGTAGGTCAGAATTTGGAGTGTGGCAGGGATGGCTTGTGTCTGCTCCATGACAGTGAGGACACAGTCATGAAGACTCAAACAGCTGAGGGTGATTCGATGCCTGGGTGCCAGAATTGCCTGGATGTGTCTTCACTGTCACAATGGAAGCCTAGGCTAGAATGGCTTCAAGGCTTGACTCAGCCACCTGCGTGTGGCCTCTCTGTGTGGCCTAGGCTTCCTCATAGCAAGGTGGCTTTAGGATAGTTGGATTTCTTGATTTTTCTTTCTTTCTCTGCCTCTCCCTTTCTCCTTTCCCTTCCTTTTCTTTCCTTTCCTCCTTTCTCTTTAGTAGACTTCACCCAGCGTGGAGCCCCACACGGGGCTCAAACTCATAACTCTGAGATCAAGACCCGAGCTGAGATCAAGAGTTGGACTCCTGGGGCACCTGGGTGGCTCAGTCAGTTGAGCATCTGGCTTCGGATTAGGTCATGATCTCACAGCTTATGAGTTCGAGCCCTGCATCGGGCTCTGTGCTGACAGCTCAGAGCCTGGAGCCTGCTTCAGATTCTATGTCTCCCTCTCTCTCTGCCCCTCCCCTGCTCATGCTCTGTCTCTTTCTCCTTCAAAAATAAGTAAACATTAAAAAAAAAATTTTTTTTTTTTTTTAAAGAGTTGGACTCCTAACCTACTGAGCCACCCAGGCGCCTGGAGGATGGCTGGATTTCTTACATGGTGGCTGAGGGATCTAAAACTCAAGTGTCCTAGTTGACAAGGCAGAAGCTTCCCTGCCTTTTATCACCTATCCTTGAATGTCACATGGTCTCACCTCTGCCACCCTGTACTCATTGAAGCAGTCAGAATTCTGCCTAGATCCCAGGGAAAGGGGACAAAGACCCTACCTTTCGATCAAAGGGTTGTCAAAAAAATGTACAGCCATCTTTTAAAACCACTTGGGATTGTCCTCAAACCGCATCCTCACCACCATTCAACTTGGGGCGGCCACCGACACCACTGACCCCACCTCAAGTCTCCAGAGAAAGGGCAGGCAGTTTCTCAGGCAGGCCCTGGGACACCTGAGCCAGCTGTAGGAAAGTCCCAAAAGGGGGGAGGAGAGCCTATAAAGATGCCTAACACCGAATTTACTGGATCTCATTAATATCTCATTGAGGTTACTTGTTCAACAAATGCTTCCTAAGCATGTGCTTTGCTAAGTTCCAACAGGATACAGAGCCTTAAGACAACAACTCCAAGGAGCTTATAAGCTCATAGCACACAATCCACTTAGAGGAGGCCTGAGTGTAAGAAGCTTTCACAGCACACAAGAATTACAGCACCCAGGGCCACCAAGAACAGAGGCCTCTATATCGTGAATTCCCCCATGCCTCCAGAAATGTCTGGGTTTTCTCGGATACTAATAATTTTGCACACTGCGGCCCCTGGTAACAGCAGCCTCCTCTGGAGGCAGCACCAAGGGTGAGGGCTGATCTCTCTACCCGGTTAAGTATCAAGAGGATGAAGACAGGGGACTGGCTCCTCCCTCAGTCTCCTCCTGTGCCCCACCCCCAGCCCTCACTCCACTTCCCTGTCACCCAGTCCTAACTGTGCTCAAATGATACTCGGGAGAACTACAGAAACAAAAAGCAAAAGCAAATGCACCGAATCCATCATCAAAAAATGACATAAAGCGACAGCCAAAGAAGGCTGAGATGTGGGCGTGGCAGCAGAATGGGACAAAATCTTCCTCCATCAGGGAACCCAGGGAGACAGACAGTGGGAGGGGTGACTGATGCATAGAAGGAAAACCCACGGAGCAGTGAACAGCACAGAGACCCGTGACCCTCATGCCCAAACCACCACGTGACCAAAGAGGCAGGTTCCTCCTCGGATGACACCTTTTATTACAACAGCACGCTGAGGGCCCAGCCCACTTCCCCCCAAACAGCCCCCAGGACTAGGCCTGTCTTCCCTGGCAGGTAGGACACAGCTTTGCTGGGCGAGTGAACGGCTCCTCTCTCGGTCCAGAAGAGCACCTCTCTCCTTGGCCAAGCCTTCTCCGAGGCTGAGGTGGGGTGCAGAGGGCCTTCCCCTCTGGGGACGCCCAGGCTCACACAGTCCACTTCAGGCACCTGCAGGCAGTGGAGGCCCAGGAGGAGGAGAGGTCCCGGGAGGCTGGGGGATAGGAAGGAGAGGATGTGGGCGCAGGGGGAGGTCCTGAGCTCACCTGGTCTCCTGGTGGGTGCCCAGACAGCGCACCGTGCAGTATCGGGCGCCACAGCTGACGCAGGTGTACGGGGAGGGGAAGCCGCAGACGGCACAGAAGGGCCGCTGAGGCCGGGAGGGGGGACCCGCACAGGCTGTCAGATAGTTGGGGCCCTCGGCCACACTCAGGTTCTGTAGAGACAAGGGGAAGGCTCCACACCTCCTCCGCCCACCCACGTGGCAAACACCGACCTGGGACAAGGACCTCTGCAGGCTCCTTCCTTCCCCGTGGGGCACCCCCAGTCCCCGGGGCCACGCCCTCTCACCTGCTCCTCTAGCAAGGCCTGAAAGTTCTTTCGGAAGCGAAGTTTAAAATGATCGCCTCGAGTTTTCTTCTTTTTCTTTCCTACAGAGGAAGAACAATTAATTACAGTTGACTCTTGAACAACACAGGGGTTGGGGTGCTGGCCTCCTCCACGTAGTCCAAGACCTGTGTATAACTCTGGACTCCCCAAAAAACAACATCAAATAGCCTACTGGTGACCAGAAGCCTTTCTGACAATACAAACAGTCGGTTAACGTATGTTTTGTATGTTATATGTATTATATACTGTATTCTTAAAACAACACTGGGGAAAACAAAATATTAAGTAAATCATAAGGGGGGGGCGCTTAGTCAGTTAAACATCCAACTTTTGCTTTCGGCTCAGGTCATGATCTCAGTTTCATGGGGTTCCAGCCCTGCATCAGGCTCTGTGCTGGCAGCACGGAACCTGCTTGGGATTCTCTCTCTCCCTTTCTCTGCCCCTCCTCCACTCATGCTGTCTCCACCTCTCTCAAAAATAAACAAACACTAAAATAAAAAACAACTTAAGAAAAAAGAAAGAAAATCATGAGAGCAAATATATTTACAGCACCGACTGAACAAATCCCACGTACAAGTGGACCCCTGCAGCTCAAACCCCTGTTGCTCAAAGGTCAACTATAGTTACTTGGCACGTGCCAAGAAAGACACCATCTTTCTCTGTGCCATCGTTCCCGACACTCATGTGTCCACTCCCTGCGCACACGCTCACCTGGGTTCTGAGTCGGCCTCTCACTACCGTGTATCCCTCCCCTCACTTCTCTAACCTGCTCCATCTCCACGCTCCCCTAAGTCCAAGGCTCTAAGTCAGAGCTGGAAGTGCTCCCGGAGCTCCGCTCTCCATGTTCTTTACTCTACATGTGCTAGAGGCAGGTGACGCAGAGGGGGAGAGCAGCTGGCTCACGGTCACAGAAGTCACAGAAGCCAGTCCCTGACAAAGCCAGAGGGGCTCCTGTGTCATCTGCCCCCCCCCCCCCCCCGCCCCCACCCCAAGTCCCTCTACAATCTGTCTCCAGGCAGACCCCTTCCCCTTCCTTTGGCCTTGCCTCCCCAGCCCGGTCCTCCCTCCCTCCACCCGCCTCCTTCTACCCCTGCCTCACCGGTGTCTGCATCATCATCAAACTGAGGCAGCCTTTTGCCGAGCTGGGGGAGTCCTGCATGGGGGTCGTCCTGGAAGTTGTCATTCTCCAAGGCCTCGAGCTGCCTGTTGATGCGGCGCTGTCTGGCAGCCCGGTCGAGCACCCGCCGCTGTCCAGGGTCCTGGGAGCGAACTGGGTGGGGCAGAGTCATGAGGGCATAGGAAGAGAGAAGCTGGGCTGGCCTTGGTTCCGGGAAGTGTGCGGACGGAACCACAGCTCTCTGATGTCATCTGAGTCACCAAGCCCTTGGCGCCTGTACCTTCTCCCAATATATTAGCCCCCTGGCTTGCCTCCCTCCTGGCTAACAAGGCTGTCATTTCAGTCACTCATGCCTTTGGCCCTGGCCTTTCCTCCCAATCCCCAGACCCAGCCAAAGAGATGCCTCCTGGAGACCTCTCACTGCTGGCAGAAATCATACAACCGTGCAGATGGGGACCACTGTACACGCAGGGCTTGCAGCCTCCACTGGGACCTTCATGCACTCAGCCATCATGCTTAGCAATCTCATTTCCTACTTCAAAGGACACACGTAGAGATGCTCATCCTCCAGCCCGCTCTCAAATATAACTGCCTGGCACCCGCCTTCCCTCCATTCCAAGAGGATGCACCCCCTACCCCTCCACTGAGTCCCATTGCTAAACCCAACCCTCCATCTCCAGCTCGGGTCCTTCTGTCCCTCCTGCATCTTCAAACCCTCTTCCCCAACAGGGACCTTCCCTTCACTGGAAAAACCTGCCAAACCCTCACGTGTTGACCCAAATTCACAAAGACTCATCTTTGAGAGAATCGCCCATGGGAAGCTTCATTTCCTCACCTCCCATCCACTCTTCAACCCCCAGCAAAATGACTCCCATTCAGTGGGAACTACTCACACTCAGGACCCTGGCGATGCCCTAGGGCCAAATCCAGTGTGTATTTCTAAAATCTTCCTTTTACTACACCCTGAGACTTTACTGACTATTTCCCTCTGGTGGAAAGAATCCCTTCATTTGCATCCCTGATGTGACTTCAGGTTTTTCTGATGGTGAAAAGCACTCAGCAAATGTGTTTAATGAAGAAGGAGACATGTTGTGTAGAATTATCTGATCCCAACGAACAGCCGGTAGGTAAGAAGAGAGAGGTTTAAAATGGTGAGGTCATAAAAAATAAAAAAAAAAACGTTGAAAAAAAAAAAAAGGGGGCGCCTGGGTGGCGCAGTCGGTTAAGCGTCCAACTTCAGCCAGGTCACGATCTCGCGGTCCGTGAGTTCGAGCCCCGCGTCGGGCTCTGGGCTGATGGCTCGGAGCCTGGAGCCTGTTTCCGATTCTGTGTCTCCCTCTCTCTCTGCCCCTCCCCCGTACATGCTCTGTCTCTCTCTGTCCCAAAAATAAATAAAAAATTTTAAAAAAAACGTTGAAAAAAAATAAAATGGTGAGGTCAATGGGGCGCCTGGGTGGTTCAGTCAGTTAAGCATCCAACTCTTGATCTCAGCTCAGGTCATGATCTCACGTTTGTGGGTTCAAGCCCCGTGTTGGGCTCTGTAATGACAGTGCAGAGCCTGCTTGGAATGCTCTCTCTCCCTCTCTCTCTGCCCCCACTCCTCTCTCTCTCTCTCTCTCTCTGTCTCTCTCTCAAAATAAATAAACTTAAAAATTAAATGGTGAGGTCAGCGGCTGACTTCCTGCAACCAGTTGAACAGCCAGTTGTGGAGCTCAGGAGAAGGTTCAGGATTGAGAGAACCACTTTTTGGAGTCATTTGCTTTTGGGAGAGACAGCCCTATGTTTGGGTTTGCAATCCCAGGAAGAGCGATCAGACTCAGAAAGAGATGGGGACAGCCCTCTCCGTAGAGGCGAGAGGGCAGGCCACATGACAGGCTTCGAGCAGTAATCAGAGATGACCCCTTCGTCACTGCAGCCCAAAATTTTAAATCTTCCCCTCCAAGTCTGCTTCTCTTCCTGAACTCTCTAAGTAAACAGAACCATCTGCACAGGCATCCTAAACAAGACACCTAGGAGTTATTTTAAACTTCTCTCTTTATCAGGGTCTCACAACTCTACACAAAATTATCTCTTTATTCATTGAACAGATATTTATCGAGTGCCTGTAACCAAAATAAATAGCATCGGCACCAGGGGCTAACACTGGGCACGCACTATGAGCCAGACGCTATGCTAAGCTCTTTGTGTAAGAGCTTTAACTCTTTATCAACCCAACGCGAGAGATATCATTATCATCCCCAGTTTACTAAAGTTCAGAGGTTAAGAAACATGTCCAAAGCTCATGTAGCTGGTATGTGGCTTGGGAAGAACGCAGAGCTTCCCAGCTCTGGATCACTGTATACTGCCTCCCTCCCAAGTACCAGGCGGTGCCCTTGGTTCTGGGAATACATGAGCTTATAGTCTAGTGGGGAATACAAATGATCAAACAAATGAGCAGAGCACAGGATATGTTAGCACAAGGAAGTACACGGTGCTACGGGGGCACATGCCAGAAACACCCAACTGGCCCTGGGGTAGTCAAAAGATTTTCCAGAGGAAAATAAGAAGTCTAGGTTGAGATCTGACTAATGAATAGAAGTTACCTTGGTTGGGGGAGAGAAAAGGGTGTTTCAGGCTTTCATACCAGCATGGAAGAAGGCTTGGATGGCAGACTGTGGTGCCTTCAATAAATTATAAAAAGTTCAGTATGGCTGGTAATATAAAGCACGTAGGGAGGGGGTGCTGTGTGGTTATAAAGTCAGGCCCGCTGTTAACAGTCTGACCTGTAAGTGTCTAAAGAACTTTGGATTTGGGGATTTATACTGAGAATAATGGAGATCCAGCAAAGAGTTTAAGAAATGCTGACACGATTGGATTCATTAAAAAGTCAATCTGGCGGACTGCTCCACCCACATCTCTTGTGGGGACTACTCAATGGCTCCTTAATTGCCTTCCAGTCTCTAGACCTGCGCTGTACAAGGGGGTAGCCACTACTCACCTGTGGTTGTTTAAATGCTGTAGATTAAGTAAGTTTAAAATTTAAAATTCAGTTCCTCCGTGGCACTAGCCACATTTCACATGCTCAACCGCCACATGTGGCTAAAGGCTGCCATCCTACACGGTACTGAGTAAGACCATTCCCATCATTCCAGAAAGTTCCGCCGTACAGCGCTGCTCCGCACTGAAGCCAGAACTGCCTCTCTAAAAGATAAATCTCTTTCGGTCACTCCCCTGCCTTAAGAGAGCCTGTAATGATTCCCCACTGCGCCAATTCTCTCCAGAGAATTCAAACTCTCTGGCACTATATGGGATGCCTTTCAGGTGTACCTTTCCCCAACCCTCCAGACTATTCTTGCTATTCCTCCGCAAGCCCCGAACTGTGAACTTGGCTCCCCAAGCGACTTGCTTTCTCTTGCTTTCCTGCCTTTGCACGCGCGGTTCACGCTGCCGGGAATGAGCCTCGGCGCAACTGCACCGAGTGAAACCTTAACCCGACTTTCAAGCCTCCATCCAAGCGTTTTCCCCCGCCCCCTTCCCGGTGCCCTCCATCCCAGAAGCTAGGTTAGGTGCCACTCCTCCCCGCGCCCAGGAGCTGTGCTCCCCTCTGCCATCGCACGTATCACTCTGAAGTGCAGCGGCAGGCCTGCGTGTCTGTTCCCCTCCCAGAAAGCCAATTTGGGGATGATAGGGATCTTTTTCCTCTCTCCAACCCAGGCGCCCGACGTGGAGCAAGCAGGCATCAATTAAACATGAATGGTCTGAGGAGCGACCCCGACGCCAGGGCCCGAGCGCCGGGGAAGGGATTTGAGACTAATAACTGGTTGAGAACATCCTAGGCCAGGTTCGGATTTGGGAGGCGGTAAGGGGCCAACCGCCCGGGGCTCACATACCCGAAGTTTTCTTCTCCACCATTTCCACAACACAGCTGACGGAAGAGCCTCCTGCGCACGCGTGCTAAAGCACCCGCTGTGGAAGGCGTGTCGTCACTTCCGGCAGCGCGTGCTTTTGCGCGTGCGCAGAATTATCCCACTAGAATTCCCAAAGCTTCCACCCATTACGTGATGTTCCCTAGGAGACCAGAAAGCTTTCCGCCATATTTTATAGGGGCAAAACCACTTCCGGCTTCAGGGTGGCTGTGTGTTTTGTGGGGTCCCCTACGTGGATCATTTTAAAGAGGTGGTACCAGTGGTCTTTTGAGAAATGTTATTTCCCTTTCGTCGTCCTTCTGAAGATGCCACCATCACAAAGGCAGTCCCTGGAGAGTCTTCCCGGGGCGGCAGAGATGATGGGCTGGACTACCAAAGAGAGTGCGTAGGCTTGAGTGGGCAATCCGAGAGGCCCTTGGTGACCCTCTGCCGAAACCTCAACCCCCTGCGCCCCTGGCGCCGCAGACTCCTCGGCCTTCTCCCTCCTTGCCGCCCGCTGCTCCGCTCGTCCCCGCTCCGAGCGCCCCCACGCCGTGCTCGCCCGGCCTTCCGCCCAGCCGCTCCCGGCAGAGCTGTGGCAAAGACCCGCCTCCGCATCCCGCCGGACCTGCTGAGGGTCACTTCCCCTCTCCGGGTTTCAGTTTCCTCGTGTGTCAGGCGGCGCTGGGCCGGGCTGGCTCAGACCGAAGTCCTCGGCTCGCGACCGCCGGCCCGAGCCCCCGCCTCCCGGCCGGGCGCCCCCTCTGCTGACTCCGTGCAGCCCGCGCGCTCACGCCCGGGGACAATCCTCGCCTTGTCTACGGCGCCGGCTTCTCGAGTTTTCAGTAGCCTCGGGCTACGCCTTTTTTCCAGGGCGGAGCCCGAGCCCTGTACCTCCTCACAGCGGGCCGCAAGGCAGCCCCGGTCCCTCTGCCCACAGCCCCTCCCCGGAATTGGGATCCAGGCGCACAGCCCAGGCGCCCTGCGGGCCTCTGTGCCTTCTCGGCCGGCTCCTCGCCATGGCCTCCTGGGGCCCGGGACTCCGGCTCCTGCTGGGAATCCTGCTGCTGCTGCTCCCGCCTCCTGCGACCCCTGCTTCCGACCGTCCCCGGGGCAGAGACCCGGTCAACCCAGGTGAGAGCCCCGGGAGCGGCGAGTGGATGCGGGTTTTGCGTGTCTGCCCGCAGGGTCCGGGAGTGGGGGGTGGAGGCCTGGAGGGGGTGGCCGGCCTCTCCCAAGCCCTTGGGCCCTCCGTGGGACGAATCGCGCGGCCCCTCGCCCACCTACCCTACCCCCCCACACCTCCACCCCGAGCTGGGATTTCCAGCCTCTCCATGTGAACTCATCCCGGATTCCTGGGTGTCTCTCCCACCCAGCTCTCAATTGGAGCCGAAGTTTTGGTTGAGAAGAGTTTAAGAGGGAATCGGAAAAATAAAAATAAAAATAATAGGAGGACAGGGGCAGAGTCGGAGGGAGGGCAAGGGGGCCTGCGGTGAGCGGAACTCGTGGGGCAGTGAGCTGGGTGAGCGGGTCCCGAGCGCCAATTCCCGGCTGGTGACAGAGAAGCTGCTGGTGATCACGGTGGCCACAGCCAAGACGGAAGGATACCGGCGTTTCCTGCGGTCAGCGGAGTTCTTCAACTACACAGTGCGGGTGAGGAGAGGAATGCCCTCGTGGCCTCTAGGAGGGGATTTGCTGCCCCTGGAGCGGGCTGAGGGCTGGATGCCTGGGGCCCCACGGTGAGCCTGGTCAGGAGGGCCCACCGGGCCGGCTGAGCCCTGCCCCGGCACCGCGGGTCTCCCTCCCCCCCCCCCCCACAGACCCTGGGCCTGGGACAGGAGTGGCGAGGGGGTGATGTGGCCCGAACGGTTGGTGGAGGACAGAAGGTCAGGTGGCTAAAGAAGGAAATGGAGAAATATGCTGACCGGGAGGATATGGTCATCATGTTCGTGGACAGGTAAAGGGGCTGGGGCTGGGGAACAGGGGGGAGGGGCAAGCTGGAGGGGTGGGTAAGGATACCGAGGTTCCTAGTGGCTGTCCTGCTCAGGCCCCTCTTCTTCGCCCAGCTACGACGTGATTCTGGCTGGCAGCCCCTCCGAGCTGCTGAAGAAGTTCGTCCAGAGTGGGAGCCGCCTGCTCTTCTCTGCCGAGGGCTTCTGCTGGCCCGAGTGGGGGCTGGCGGAGCAGTACCCTGAGGTGGGCACGGGGAAGCGCTTCCTCAACTCTGGTGGTGAGTGGCAGAGTGCCCAAGGCTGAGGGGCCAAGAGTGGTGGGGCTTGGGATGTTCCAGGCGCCGTCGGGCTAGAGAGGGGGTGGGGACGGGTGTCTGGGACCCCAAGAGTCTCGGAGTCAGCACCTCCCCACCCCCCGCAGGGTTCATCGGCTTTGCCCCCACCATCCACCGAGTCGTCCGCCAGTGGAAGTACGAGGATGATGATGACGACCAGCTGTTCTACACACGGCTCTACCTGGACCCAGGGCTGAGGGTGGGGATGGCGGGGAGGGCGGCCCCTCGCAGCTCCGCAGGGCTGCAGGTGCCATGCGGGCTGTAGAGCTTCAGGGAGGAAGTAGAAAGAGTGGGCAGTTATGGCCCACCCGCTCCTCGGTTAACTGCCCCATCTCATCCCATGCAGGAGAAACTCAGCCTCAATCTGGATCATAAATCCCGGATCTTTCAGAACCTCAATGGGGCTTTGGGTGAGGAGAAAGGCAGCCGGAGGGGGTCGCTGTGCCTAGCATCTGTTGGACACGTACTTTGTGCCAAGGCTCTGGGTCGGGGCTCTACTTCTGTAATTTCGTTTAACCCAACAATCCTACAAAGGGAGGGTCTGTGGTTACCACCTGTCACAGGTGAGGACGCTGCCTTTCCGAGGGACTGGGGACTCGCCCCGGTCACCCAGGTAGTGTGGTGGAGCACCCCAGGGTGGCAGTAGCCTGGTCAGTACCCTCGGAGAGAGAAGGTAGCCAATCCTCGCCCCCCCTGGAGCCACAAGTCCTTCACCCTCTAGAGAAGCCGGGGTCCCCCGCCCACCATATTTAGAAGCATCTGTTGCTTGGCAGCCTTGAGAGGAAGGGAGTGTAAAGCTGGCCCTTTCTTCCCCAGATGAGATAGTTTTAAAGTTTGATCGGAATCGCGTGCGTATCCGGAATGTGGCCTATGACACACTTCCCGTCGTGGTCCATGGGAACGGTCCGACTAAGGTTTATACCCACAGACCCTGCCCCTGCCCCAGTCAGACCTGCCCCCTGCCCCTGGGTACCTCCATCCCTTCTGGACAGCCATTCCTCCCCAGCCCCTGAGGCAGAGGTGATGGGAGAGGGTCCAAGTGTCCATCCCTTCCCCTCCTGCCCTGTCCCCTGCCCGTCCTCCTGCCTCTCCGTCCCTCTCCTGCTGGACTCCTTTGCTTCAGCCTCTCACTGCCTCTTCCAACAGCTGCAGCTGAATTACCTGGGAAACTACGTCCCTAATGGCTGGACTCCTCAGGGAGGCTGTGGGTTCTGCGGCCGGGACCGGAGGATACTCCCGGGGGGGCAGGTGAGGAGGGGTGCCAGGGTCGGGCAGGACAAGGCACTGAGGCAGGGGGTGCGGGGAGAGCATGCGGGACAGCGGCACACGGGGCAAAGCTCTGGGGACCCCCAGGACACACCAGGGGGAGGCCTGGGCTCTCCTCTGAGCCCCAAGGTGTCGTATCTTGCAGCCTCCCCCCCGGGTGCTTCTGGCCGTGTTCGTGGAACAGCCTACCCCGTTCCTGCCCCGCTTCCTGCAGCGGCTCCTGCTCCTGGACTACCCCCCTGACAGGGTCACCCTGTTCCTGCATAACAACGTGAGACGCCCCCCTGCGCAGCCTCCCAAAGGGCCCTGCCCCCACCGGATCGGCCCTGACTCCTTCCTACACCCCTTCCGCTCACCACCTTCCCTCTCCTGTTCCTCAGGCACCATCTTTTCTGCCCTCTCTCTCCCCTCCTCCCATCTCTCCCCCCATCTCCAGGAGGTGTACCATGAGCCCCACATTGCAGACTCCTGGCCCCAGCTCCAGGGCCACTTCTCAGCTGTGAAGCTCGTGGGGCCGGAGGAGGCCCTGACCCCGGGCGAGGCCAGGGACATGGCCATGTGAGTGAGCGCTGGGAGGGGCGGACGGGGGAGGGGGAAGGGACGCTGCCTCTGCCTCGGTCCTTCCTTTCCGTTCACCACGTGGTCTCTGCTTGGCCTCCCAGGGGCGCCCTCCCAGCCAGGAGACCCTCGGGGTCCTGGGGAGGCAAGTGCACCGCCCCCGCCCCCACGGCCCCCTCCTCCCCCCGCCTGCTCCCATCTTAGCTCATCTGTTCGTTGATCTGTCACCTCCAGGGACAGCTGTCGGCAGGACCCCGAGTGCGAATTCTACTTCAGCCTGGATGCTGACGCCGTCATCACCAACCAGCAGACCCTGCGCATCCTCATTGAAGAGAACAGGTCGCTTGCCCAGTTCGGCCGGAGGGAGCCCAGGTAGTCTCCGGGGAGCCCCCGACTTGCTCCCCGGGGACAGGGCTCACCTCTGCCCATCCACAGGAAGGTGATAGCGCCCATGCTGTCCCGCCACGGGAAGCTGTGGTCCAACTTCTGGGGAGCCCTGAGCCCTGACGAGTACTACGCTCGGTCCGAGGACTACGTGGAACTAGTGCAGCGGAAGCGAGTGTGAGTTCTGCCCCTGCCCTCCGGCCTGCGGCCACCCGCGTGCCCTCCCGAGGCCCCGTTCCCAGGGCTCCGGCGCGGCCTCCAGTCGCAGTGCCACAGCTGTGGGGTGGGGGGACCGGAGCGAGACCGGGGTGGCGTGACCGGCGGCGCTTCACCGGGGGACGCGGCTTGGCGAGCGGGCGCCCTGGGGGAAGGGGCTCCCGGGTTGAATCGTGCCCACCTGACCCCGGTGCGGGTGCCTCCAGGGGCGTGTGGAATGTGCCCTATATATCCCAGGCGTACGTGATCCGCGGCGAGACCCTGAGGACAGAGCTGCCCCAGAGAGAGGTGTTCTCGGGCAGCGACACCGACCCGGACATGGCCTTCTGTAAGAGCCTGCGCGACAAGGTGAGTGGGGCCTGGGGGCCCCATGCTGGGGTGCTGGGAAGCAGCCGCCCGCGTCTTCTCACTCTGACCCCCGACCCGGCCCCAGGGCATCTTCCTCCACCTCAGCAATCAGCAGGAATTTGGTCGCCTCCTGGCCACTTCTCGGTATGACACAGACCATCTGCACCCTGACCTCTGGCAAATCTTCGACAACCCCCTGGTGAGTGATGGGCCCCTCGCTCAGAGAACTGGCGCGCCCTTCTCTAAAGGAGGACGCAGGCACACGTGCACGCGCACACACGCACAGTGCTCACCCCCAAGGTCTGCTACTGCCTGAGGACGGGCGGTCGTGGTAGTGGGGCCGGGGCTTCCTTGGGGGACCAGATGGCGTGAAGAGGGCACGGGTCAAAGCGCGCACCCCTCCCCTGCCGCAGGACTGGCGGGAGCAGTACATTCACGAGAACTACAGCCGGGCCCTGGAAGGGCAGGGACTCGTGGAGCAGGTGAACCCCCCCCCCGCCGGGGGGGGGGGGGGGCGGGGGGGGGGGGGGCCCCCCCCCCCCCCCGAAGGGACCCCTGACTGTCCTGGTGGCCGTTGCGCCCTGAGTCTGCCGCCTGGATTAGCGGTCTCCAAACAGACCCCCCTCCTGGGCAGAATGCTCTGCCCCGGGCAGATAAAGGCACAGGCTGAGCAGACGGGCCTTCAGCTTCCCACCCTGCCACCAATCAGAGCGGTCCTCTCTTCTCTCTTGGGACCGTTAGCATAAGGAAGCTCCAAACCCAGGGCTCCAGGACCCCCCCCGCCACCTGTGCCGTGTTCTCTGAGCCACTGCCACCTTCTCTGGCCCAGCCTTTCCTGGCCCAGCGCTGGCCATGGCCTGTCCCCACGCTCGGGTCCCCAGGTCCCCGGCTTCTCTCGTCCCCCGGCTTCCCTTTCTGCTCCTGGCCTTTTCTCCGCTCTGTTGGCTTCTCCCCGAGAGGTCACCGAGCATCCCCCTGGCCCTGTTGCTCCTCTCCTGTCTTCTCAGCCGTGTCCAGACGTGTACTGGTTCCCGCTGCTGTCAGACCAGATGTGTGACGAGCTGGTGGAGGAAATGGAGCATTACGGCCAGTGGTCAGGAGGCCGGCATGAGGTGAGGGGGGCTGGGTAGTGAGGAGGGAGGGCTCCCCGAGGAGGGAGGTGTTGCCGGGAGCCAGGGACATGGAATCAAGAGAGTGGCACCAAAGAGGGGTCCCCAAGGGAGAGAGGACCCACAGAGGGCACAACTGTGTTCATTCATTCATTCATTCATTCATTCAAGAAACACTAACCGGGCAGGCAAGTCCCAGGTTTCGCCACTGACCTAGGCGGCGTGGTGCACTGGGCGGTGCTGGCCGAGCCCCCCTGCACCTCACCCGCTATAGTCAGTGGCAGGAGCTACTTCTGAAGGCTGCGCCCGGCAGCCCAGATGCTGTGGGGGTCATGGGGCGGGGGGGGGGGGCCTTCGGCCCTGACACGGGGGATCCGAGGGGCTTCGCAGAAGAGATGACGTCTTCACTGAGACACAGAGGGCCTGCAGGAGCGAGTCAGGCTGAGTGGGCGAGGCTTCCAGACCCAGGTTCCACGAGCTTTAAGGTCCGAGAGCAAGAGGAAGGGGGAGGCTGGCACCGCCCCGTTGGGGCTCAGTGCCTGCCGCCCACAGGACTCAAGGCTGGCTGGAGGCTACGAGAACGTGCCCACCGTAGACATCCACATGAAGCAGGTGGGCTATGAGGACCAGTGGCTGCAGCTGCTGAGGACGTACGTGGGGCCCATGACCGAGAGCCTGTTCCCAGGCTACCACACCAAGGTGGGCCGCTGCCCCCTGCCCCGCCTCCACCTTCCCACACCCCGGTCCTGGCTGGAAGTCTCCACGCAGCGCCCTTTGGGCCTTGGTAGCCTCTGGAGGCCCGCGGAAAGGGATACCACAGGAGGGCAGCCAGGGGCCGGAGGGCAGTTAGCAGCAACACCCCTGCAGCCCCGCCCCCTCCCTCGGACAGGGCCTTCACCCCCTCAGA